CAGTACTTCTATTCTTATTTTAACGAACGATAAAGACAGAATGATGATTACAAGCGCTTAAAGCGCGTGAGCGTCCAAATAGATCGCAGCTTGTATTGTTATAATTTATATATGTGCAGAATTATTTAATAAAAATATTCTTATGAAAATCGCTAGAAATATCGAGCAAAATAGCAAAATAATATAATTACCGGCATTAATGTCCATTGCAACAGCACTTTTATCAGTTGTTGGATCGCTTATTAAAAAAACTTTCATTTTATTAGTGAGTACTAAACCTCTATATAATCGGTCATCATTTTGTGATTTTATTATATCATCACATCGCTTTTCCACACGTTCAGTCGACATATTGGTCATCGGGCGAACAGATTCAGAAATTTGATTTCTAAACATGAAGAAAATACAAATAAAAATTTTAAGAATGCATGAATTTGTTAATCTATTATATCGCTATGCATCAATGATGCTGAAAAATATTCTAAAACTAGAGCGGGGCTATTCCGTTATTTTCAACCTCTTAATGTAATACAAAATTTACAGCAACAAACAATATCTTTTTGCAGTAGTGCTTATAACTATCTTATACAATCATGACTACTTCTCAAGAGCACAAGTATGATTTTTAAATGATCAGTATATGCTGTTCAGAAACATAAACAATATCATGAGAAATAGACAAAATATAGCCCCGCTGTATTCTATATATTAAATATGTATGTATAAATGTAACAAAATAGTATATAAACTCTTAGATGGATTATAAAGTTAAGTTTCCATAATTTATTATTTATTAAGACAAAATATTTTCTCTATTCTCAAATCAAGTTTTTGTCTATTTCAGATTTCTTTATCTCAAGTCAAGTTTTCCTTCAATTTCCATTTATGTTCTAACTGCACAGGTGCAAAATAAAAACATGTAGTATGCTTTGTCTTTGTCACTCATTTCCTTATTCCATCATGTTTAAATGACAAATATATAAGTAGGAAAATAACACGAAGTTGAAACAAAGGAAAACTTAATTTTAGATAATTGATAAAAAAAGGCAATTGTGATAAAAAAAATCAACTGATAACAATATATCACTAGAAAACAATTTCAGTTGAAGATTGTAATACTTTTCTTTGCTTAATATTGTGGATGTATTTATATGTATGTAGCAAATTTAAATAAAAGAAATATAAAAATTATATCGCGGTAAAAAATTTTTCATGGAGGATGTATATAAACATACATAAACATATAGTATAAACATTCACATAATAATACATGGAATATATCTGTACATGTCCATACACATCCTTCTTTCTTTTATAAACTTACTATTCTAGAATGTTTCGAATTCTCGCTTTAAAATTATACAGGGATATATAGGGGAAAAAAAAGAAAGTATAAAACGTGTGCAGTTTCACAGTTTATGTTACCACTTTTAGACTCAAATAACATATGGTTGTGTAGCTAACAGTTAACTACTAAGCGACAGTATTCTTACTTGCAGGTACAACTCTCCACGAGGGAGTTCTTGTCATTCTGATAAAATGACGCCATCGTGAAACGTCGACGACAGGACCTCACGCCGGACACGATACAAATTTATTGTTTTCCGTTTTTTCTGTCACTCTGTCACACAAATGTCACCACACTAACCTTGACGATGGCTTCGCGGAGCAGATACGTTATATACGTGAACAACACAACACACACACATACACACTCTCTCTCTCTCCCTCTCCCTCTCTCTCTCATACGCACGGTGCTTCCATAATGAGAAAACAGTACATTCCAAGCAAAATAACAAGTCATTATAATGATGTCAAAATGATGTCAAAATGATGTCAAAATGACTCCAAAATAACCGTTAAAAGTCATTTTTCAATCATTTTCGATTCAATTTAATGTCATTTTGACATTATCGTGACTTGTTGTTCTGCTTGGAATTGTCTCGCACAAAGTTCTTGTGTTACCTCGTAAAAAGAAAAAAACAGTAACACTGATAAAATCACTTGGCGTCGTATTGAGGTTAGGTACACCGACACGCCAATGAAATTTGAACGGGAAGTGATTCCTGACAATCACTCGATATTATTGTAAAATCGTCCATCGAGGGAGTCGCAAAATTGCAAATTGTGCTAAACCACTTCGATTTAATGACCGACATAAACATTCGATATGATGACGCGGCGAATGACAGGAGCGGTATTCTCGTCAGGTATACGTAGGACGATGACACGATGGCGAGTGACAAGTGGCGTACTCACGTTTGCGGAAAAACATAGGTACCTGAAGAGCAGGCGAGATTGTGCGGACACGAACGGCACACGGGATTTTAACGCGCGCGTGACGAACATCGGAGCAATCGGAGCATCGGAGGACGGAGATAAATCTGACGAATTGCAAAATCGGAGCAACACCAAGTTCTACACTCGCTTGCACTCGCTGTCCGCTGTGATCCGTCGATCAAATCAACTTATTTCACTGATGGTTGCCGATTAGGGTTGATCGTCAACCGGTAACCTCAATCAGAAGTAATGCGATTATATAGTTTTACGATTTAATGAATAAATAAAAGCTATGACAGGGGATGTTGGATGTTGGAACTATGCGACCATGGCAAACCTAATATGATGCCTCCTATGATGTGCGACAGGTTAAGTTATACGTTGCCACGATGCTATCGTGTCACGCGGTCACATTTGATTTGATGCTTAAATTGGCTGTTCCGAATACAACCTACCATTATGCGTATTCCATAATTTACACTGTGATTCCTGATAGGTTGAAAAGTTCTTAGATCCAGCGCACAATAGAAGAAATAAGGAATTAGGAATAAAGAATAAACGATTTCAACCTATCAGAAACTATGTATTCCGATGTATCCGATTTCTGATAGATTAATGCCCATTTCCACCAATATAGATTAACTTTAATCTCGGTTCAACTTACTCTTCGTCTTTTTCTAATCTTTAGAACTTGATCTGCGTTGGTGGAAACGGACCTAAAATCGTTAATTTTTTATTCCTCATTCCTTATTCCTTCTATTGTGTGCAAGGCCTTATTCTCTGTTCTCTATTTCTTTAATTGTGCACAACCCCTAATACCCAGACAGCACACAATATTTACAAAATATTTACAAAATATTTAGAAACATTTATAAAATTTATTTTAAATATATTTTGTAAATATTTTTGTGGTTTTAGATTGCACAGATCATAAATATTTATTATAAATATTATGAAATACTTATTAGAATAGTTATAGTAAATGCTATGAAAATACTTAATGAGACATTATAATCCAAATAAAAAATACTTATTAGAAATATTTATTTATATTTATCATAAATATTGCATAAAATATTTAGTCTATATTTTAATAATATATTTCAAATAAAGCTTTATATAAAATATCTATATAACATTTCAAAAAATGAATATTAATAAATATTTATCATAAATATTCTGTGCTGCCTGGGTAACATCTATTGGTGTATCTTTCTAGACATCCAATCAGACTTTTAGTTCTGGAAGAATATACCAATAGCAGCGACCGCTCACTTAACTAATGAGTGCTGATGCGTCCAATGATTTGATGTTAGCTGCGAAAACTTCTCGAAAATTCAAATCCGGGCAAACATTGCATTCAGTTCGATTAACCGACAGCATTTTTTTCAAGCAAAATAATCTTTTTTCTCGTATATTAAATTACAATAAACTAATTATTCTGTTCATGTCAATAAAATAATACAACCATTGTTGGATTAGTTGATTGAAATTAGTGATTATATAAACACTAATTTTAAGTTACTCGAAGTTTTTAATTCAAATTAGTCGAGGGCCGCGCGACATTCATAGTCCGTTTTTTGAAAATGTATTAAGTCTTAAGATATTAATACCGCTCTCTATAATTGGTTTATTACATCTTAATAAAACTGTACTTAACACGATCCTAAATATAAGATCTGATTATATATGAATACCATTCGAGATGAGAGTCGTATTAATTATTAGCATCTTAAGATATTACTTAAGACGGTCTTAAACTATAAGAGTCGGCTATAAATACCGGCCATAGACATTAATCGATCAGTTATTTAACACAAAACTTATACTCGGCGTATTGTTTGACAGATTAAAAAATAAGCACTGTATAACCTGTTGTATACTGTTAAATTAACCAATGGAAACATAGTTCAAGGTTCTTTAAACAGTAATCGCACGTGCAGAATCAGTGTGATGCAAGAAAAGGTATCGCGATATGGAGTGCGGTCCGTTTGGCGCTTCGAAGCATTTTGATTGGCCGGTCAGAGGAAAAAATTTTACTAATTGACCAATAAAAAAAATGTTGTGTTTATTTAACATTATGTATGATATTACAAAAAATACGTTATTATTTTACTGAACTTAATCGAATTGTCAAATGTGTGTATTTGACTAACGTAGAAGGCCAGTATTTGTCTTTTTTTTTTATATGATTGTCTTCATAACAAATGTCATCTAATGTCAACATTTAGCGTGATTTTAATTGGTCATACGACAGCTAAATCATATATTGATGTAATGCATTATAATATATATATATAATGTAAATTACACAAACATTAGCAAGTTCATCAGAATATTTATGACTTCACTGGTCAACAACTCGTGAATTTGGTTCATTATTGTAATTTTCATCTCATTCCAAAACATACAATCGACCCAAATAACCCAAATCGATCCCCTTTGAGCAATCTTTAAGCCGGTGTCACACTATACATTGAAGTCATTTGGAGATTAAGGATTGCGAAATAAAGATTAGAATTTAATCAATCAGAATAAAACAGACTGAAATGAAAATGACCTGACCGGTCGAAATCTAATCTCAAACTCGCAATCCCCCAACGCATAGTGTGAGACGGACTTAACGGATTTGACGCACGCAGTTGGCCGTTTATCTATCGATCACTCCGTGACGCGCGTTTAGTACAGACGCGCGCCGTGAGGCGCGGCCGCCGCTGTCGGCGCGCAGTGGCCCTTGTACGCGCGTGATGCGCGGACGTACGCGTCGCGATTGTGCGAGAGAGAGAAAGAGATCGAGCTGCTGTAATCATCCTGTATGTCGTCTGTCCGCCGATTTCCGCGACAGCGGTGTAGGTATATACGCGCGAAACGATTCGTGATCTTGAGCGACCTCGGAGAGGGACCGCGGGGTGTCGAGCGCGCATCGTAGGATTACGTGCAAAGTAAACACACGCACGCACGTAAAAGCTCGTGCGCGCGCGCGCGCGCGAGCAAGCGGTCACAGCCAGGCAGACGTTGAAGCGTACGAAGCAGCATCTCGCGATCAAGTGTATAGTCGGCGGTCGGTGTGGTATACTCGACACAATCGAATCGGTTGACGACAAGGAAAAGTGAACCGATTGCATACGCGCCAGACCAGACGGCCCGAGAGTTACCCGCGTGAAGTGAGGAATCGCGCGATCGGCCGAATAGAAGTGCGACTACCTTCGGAGAGTTCACGACTGTTCAGAGCGACGTCGACAGTGGCATCGCTCCGGGCGGGCACACCGCCGTCCGTGCCGCGCCGGGCGGCTCGTCTCTAGTACCGTCCCTTGCTTGCATGCCACGCTTCGAAACGAGGATCGGAGCTGCCTGTTGGTGTTTCGTCGTGCTTATCGAGGTAGGCCGGCTTCGCCAATATCGCGCGTGTACCTAAACGACCTAAACCGGCGGTAAGTCATTCTCGGCGGTTCTGGGCGGATTACGCCAGGCGTCATTTAAATGTATTTACTGAATTGTTGGAATCGTGCGCGTCCTGACCGTCGCTCGGTCTCTTTCAACTGTTCTCTGCGTTTCTTGAGTTTAAAGTGCGATATGTACGTCTATTTGAGCTTCGGATGGAGATACGCGAAAACGATATGGAAAGAGAGGAAGAGAAAGAGAGAGAGAAATATTTGCTGTTAACTTTCTAGAGCTGACTCCAAAATCTATGATACAGTTACTGAGGCTGGGTTCATAAACTCTATTTAATTATTAATTAAAGGGCACTAATTAATTTCAAGATACCAAAATAACATAACTTTATAAAAAAAAGAATAAATTGTAGAATATATTTTAATAAGAATAATTGAAATTTGCAGATGTAATATAAAGAAAATTGAATTGTTTGACAGAGATTTAGTGGATCCGAATTGAGTAGATCCAAGACTCCGACAGCTCCAGTTAAAAATAAATGAAAGATACGATGGATCTTGCATCGTAATCGGTATTAAGTAGGTACACTACAGGGGGAAACGAAAAACTAATTGAATATTCATCGGAATCGATTTCACCTAGATCGACTTGTCTTATTGACTGCGTTCAGAAAAAATGCAGCTTTACATAATTTTTTAATATAATTGGCCCTTAGTTTCTCACCGAATCTAAATATATAAACTAATAATATTGAAAAAACTTACAAAATTACTTTTTCCGATGAACACAACCGTTGTCAAGTTACACTTTTCATACTCGACGCCTTCGACCGGAGAGGGTTTGGATCGCTCCTACGGCGATTAATGACGTAATGATCCTGCCAAGTGCATCACCAGTTGAGCGCAAGTTCATAAAAGTTAACTTTGCCGCGCAAAGCAATTCGAGCTTCCTCTGGAGCCGAAAATGATATTAAAGTGACACAGGAGATCTATTTTATCTCTCCAACACTTTCTATATTAGAAACTTGACTTGACCTTTTTAAAGTACACGTGTATATGACGTTAAAATTATCGAGATGCTTTTTTATTAAATACTGGAGCAAGTTTGATGTCTAATACGTTAAATTTTTTTGGGGGAGCAATTAGGGATCAAATATAACATTATAGTCAGAAAAAAAATCTCTTAAGCCTTATGTCTACGATGCTAAAAACTTCTCGGAGATCTCGGTTTTTCTAGAGGAAGAATTTACATATGACATTGGAACAATTCGGTCACATAACCAATGCGATTGGTCAATTTTTTTTCATCCGAAATTTCTAGCATCGTGGATTCAAAGTTTTATACACATTTTTTTACTCCAATCATTTGTTTCATTTTTATATTATTACTTATTGTTAGACACGATGCGTTCTAATTGCATCATATTGTATTTTTATGAGGGACTAATGTTCATTTCTATCAATGTCTGTTAATTTCAATTTTAATTTAATTTACTCTATTTTTTATAATTCTACAAATTGGGAAAAAATAAAGAATAAGTTAACTGAGGTTAAAGTTTTTCTACATTGGTAGAAGTGTAGAAATAGTCGACCGTCTTTTTCTATAATATTTTTTACTATTATAACTTTTCTGTGTATAAAAAAGTGATTATATATTTGTTTTATTATTTTGTTTTAAACAAGAGTGCCCAAATATTCAAATATTTTACTTGTTTTAATTGACTTCCTTTTATTTCACAATATATTATTAGTATTTAAATGAGTATATAAGGTCTTAATATGTAGATACTTTTTTATTCTTTCAAAAAATTGAGGGAGACAAATGTGTACGAAAAAAAAACTTTAATCGAACTCTGTTGAGTTGGAGACTGTTTGATATAGAAACTGTTCTCGTGCGTTTTCACAGAAAAATATTGTAGAGTATTCTAGAATCATAGAGATCGAACTGCCTGTCTATTCCGGAGTCCCCTTAATCCTCAAACTCTTATCCTGACGAAATATGCGTAAAACGAAAATGTCATCGCTCGCTCTCCGTCTTTTACTCGTTTTCCCACTCCACGCATAGCCATGCGGTCACGTGGCAAACGACATAGTGGGAGAGCGACGTAAGAGGAGACTTCCACTTGACAGGGGAACAGCTGTTCCAGAATAAAAGGGGATTCGGAATAGAAGGGCTTTGCCGTAACATCTAAAATATTGAAAATTAAACTCCACGGAATTAAGATACTATAATTCTGTTTAAACTCGAAACATTGACAATCGTCTGGCAACATCAGAGGATTGTTTATTAACATAGTTTATATTCGAAAGATCGTATGATCGGCTTCAAAATAGTTGAGACAATTAGTAACTCTTGAAACGCACATGAAATATCCAGTAAAAGAATTTGTCTCGTATTCTTGAAGTTTTTTGTGGAATTTTGCTCTAAAGAGTGAAAATTCTGCCACTCTTGAAAAAGAATTTTCAGTTTTTAAGAGTAAAATTTCACTTTTTAAATATTCACTTCGAAGAATTTAGAGAGTAGAAACATTCATCGGTTCTTTATAGCTGAATTTTTTGTTTCTTTTATCTTCCCCATACTCTAAACAATCGGTGTGAATGTAACACATATGCTGGGTAATTCTTATCGTGTTGATGTTAATATTAACATCGTGAATTATATCCACACTATGATAATATTGAGGTACATCAAGGTTTAAATCCACACCATGTTGATTAATATTAATACCAACATGGTAAAATTATACAGGGCGTCCCGAAATTCGCGAACAAAATACCATAGCAAGAAAGGTTTCGAAAAATTTAATAAAAAATTTATTTGTAAATATTTTTATTTTAAGGAGTAATTTTTTAGATATACCTAAGGGTTTAAATGTGGCCAATAATAAACTATGTTTAGATAGCCACCTGTCCATGAGTCACACGCGGCATGTATTTGTGGGCGTTGTTGAGCGCTCACTTCAATGATAGTTACAAGTAATAGTCTAAACGTAGTTTATAATTGGTCATACTTAAACCATTCGTATCTAAAAAATTACTGCTTAAAATAAAAAATAACAAATAACTTTTTTATTTAATTTTTCAAAGACTTTGCTGTAATATTTTGATTCACGAATTTTGAGACACCCTGCATAAACACCGTATAGTGTGTTAAATCCACAACGATATTTTTTAGAATGCATTTTCTCTCCACTGTCAAATTATATATTTTTGTAGAGTGAAAACATAGTGCAGCTACGAAGAACAGACTTCGTTCTAACATTAAAAGAGTGCCACGTGCAACATACATAGTGACACGACGTTTACCGTCGTAGAAACTACATTTGCCGCTTTGAAATGACGAGAATGTTCTTTCGAAGATCAGAAGATTCGATATGAAAGCATTATTTCATTTATATGACGACTCCCGGTGGTCGAGTCAATGTCGTTAAATCACGATGATTACGGCATTGGTCTTTATTGCTCGGAAGTAGGCAGTTTTCGTTTCAGGGACTTTCGTTTATAGGTACAGCGAGACAGAGAGGAACGATACTAGGGCTGTTGCTCCAACGTTGCAACGTTGATGAGTCGTTTCACGCTCTTGACGTTTAGTAATGGCCATTTAGCACTTTCATGTACCGGATGTAAAAGAAGTCACGCGCCAGTTTCCGCGGATGAATTTTTTTTCTTTTATCTCCACTATTCCGCTCATCAAACGGATGAGAGATGGATAAAAGTGAACGTTGCATTAACGGATACACGTTAAAAACCTTCAAATTTTCTTTTGATGAGAAAAAAATTCATATGAGAAAAACTGAACTCAGAATTTCAATAGCAAAGTATTTTTGACCTCTAATTAAACACCAGCAAATAAATTATAATTTGGGGATAGAATAACATAGAATCGAAAATTCTGATTCTTTTTAATTTATGGAACAAAAAATTCATGGACCTATATTGATAGACCTACGCTGAGTATTTACTGTGCTTTAAAATCAAACTTAAAAGATGTTTGTTGCTTTCAAAGGACAAATAATTCTAAACACACCATTAGAAAAACAAGAAAATGATTGTTATACGTTAGATGTTATTAATTTATTTTGCCGCCTTAATCACACCAATTAATCCAAAGACGGATTCAACAATTTGATTGGATCTCGCTTTACATTTGTCCAGACACTTCGATCAACCTTGCATCTTATCGCGAGGTTAAAAAAAATGTCATTGAACGTTTTGTGCTGTTTCCCAACAACCCGTGTCAAAGAAATGGGAATTTTATTCCGTCATTGGTGCTCGGATTGCGTGAAGCTGCGTTACTTGCGGTGGATTAACCGGCCGATCTCTCAATCGGTCTCATGTACAACCACGTGTGTTAATGGTTATCCAGCGCGACCGCGTTCACAAGGACATCTCACCGGCAATCGACTTGCCGAGTCTTTCTATTCTTTGCGGAACATGAAACTATTGAACCATGCAAATTAACTACGTAAACGAAAAAATACATTTCTTAGGCACTGTAAAGAAATTGGTCACCGAGTGCAAGCGAACCGGACATGGTTAATGTACGTAGTCGTACATGCATATACAAGGTGGATTATTAGCAATGTAACTGAGAAGGGGAACTGTTCTACACACTATATTATATGCACGAGTCACGATTTAAATCCTTTACATTTAAATCTTTTAAATTCTTTAGCGATACGAATAATTTCGATACACCTACACACACTTGTACTGTATAAATACTATATGAATTTGCATACATATCAGACATTCGGAGCACGTGCTTCTTGTTTAAATGTTAACGCATCTTGATTCTTTGAAAAACATTTTTTCAATTATTATTTATTATTATTCGTCAAACATTGATATGTTAGATTATGAGTCTACACGAAATATGGACCTTTTGCTTCTTTAAGATAAAGTCTAAATCGTTGCAGTTTAAATAATCACAATCATGATGCGCGAACATTTAGGCAGGAAGTACGCGCCGCGAATATATGTGCAA